GGGAGCCGCGGGGCAGCCGCTGCCGGGCCCCGAGGGCTGGGGCGGCTGCAGGTGCGTCTGGGAGGGATGGGGCCTAGGGGGGATGCTCGGCCTTGAGGAGCCTTCCTGCCCCTCTCCTCACCCGTACGTCTCGGGAGACTGGGCATCAAGGTGGCTGCTGGGAATAATCCAAAGAGAGGGACACATCTGGCGCTGCCTGTAGCAGAGCCCGGCTGGGTAGTCGGCTCCCCTTCCCACCTGAGCAGAGCCTTTGCTTCGAGAAGCAGGCGTCACGTTCTGCAGGTGAAAGTGGAGCAGTAAGCAAAGCTCTGGTGCTTCATCAGAAAATCAGTGAGCGACTGCGTTCCGTGCTCTCTGCAGAGCACCACGCTTGCTTAATTGCAAGGTGCTGGTGTGAGGACTTCTGCAAGGCACTGGATGTGGCAGGTCGCTCTGCTCCCTAACAGTAGGCCTCGGGTATCTCCTTCAGCTAGATCATGTTCACTTCTTTTTAAATTTTAATTTGGTTTAATTTTTGGCTTGTAATTGTGCATCTGGCTCAGAGAGAGGAAGAAAGCCCTTAGCTACATTTTTAAAAATCCAATCTTGGATGAGCTCTTTAAGTGATTATAAAGTTGACTAAGTGTAAAAGCTTTGCAAAGGCAGTAATTTCAGACACACTTCTGGCTGCTAAGACATGTCTGTGTTTCATTTTCTGTATATTTTTAGGGAGCTTAAGTGGGGTGGGTAGCTCACTCATTGGGAAAAAAAAGGGGGTTTTAAATGTCATGTTTCATTTGGCTGTATGGAAAAGCTGAGTATCAGATGTCCTGTCAGGAAATAAGATACACTGATATACAATGTGCAAACATTTTATTTTGAAGAACTCCTTCACAGTCTCACTTCATGGAAGTGAGTTGCCCAACTTAGTCACACAGCAAAGAGCAGTCTACATCCTGATTTAGGTTTAATTTCTTGGTTTAGAGCTCATGGCAACAGGATATCTGAAAGGGAAAGTATGTTTAAGTTTTTTCTCTGGTTCAAATAATTCTTATCCTCACCATTAGGAAACACATCTCAGTACAGCAGGATGTGGAGGGAAATTTCTCAGGTTAGCCCAGAGAAATTTTTTAACCTGTTCTTCATAACTTAGTAAGAGTGGAAGTGAGAATGTCTACCTTACCGAGGATCATCACAACATCATGTTTCTGATTTTGGAGAAAGGCTCTCTGGTGGTCTGGGGATAGCTGGTATCAATAAGAAACAAAGCACCATCAGGCAGATTTCCAAATTTTTTTGAACGGAAGCGCTTGAGAAGTGTCACACGTAGGGAAAGACGACACTTCTCTAAGTTATGGTATGACCATATTCTAGTACTATCAAAAGTTCTTTGTTTTATAGTGAGAAGACAGAACCTTTGTACAGGAAAACAGAAACTTTGTAAAGGAAAAGATGAATCAGGAAAATTTAAACTCCTTTCCCTGTTGTCCTAGAAGAACTGACCCACGTTTTTCCATTTACTCCTGTTGAGTTACTCCTTATTGTGCAGCTTACCTTGAATGAGGAGTAGATTGGTTCTTAAAAGTGGCTACTTGTTTTGGGGACCATTATCCTCATTGGCTTCTCACAAATAGCCTGAAAGGTCTCACACAAAACTAAGCAAAACAAAACCAAAAACAACCCACCCACCTCCCAAAAAAATAAAGCAAAAAAAAAAACCAAAACAAAACAAACAAACAAACAAAAAACCAAACCAACCTGCCATTGGAAACCAGGCCTCTTCAGAGGTGTTCAAGGCCTGCCTGTTCAATAGCTCTAGGATTCTCAAGCCATAAAGTTATGGATTGTCACGTACCCAGTGATCCCCAGAAGTAAGGCAGTGTGCAGAAACTAATGTTTCAATATGTTAGATTACAATTTGAGACTGAAAATTAACATGAAAAATGTCCCTATTCAAAATAAAACAATCAGAGATGCCAGCTACAGTCTTAGTGATCTCATGTATACACTCCCTCCAATCTGAAGGCAACTTTTTCCCTGATAGTGAGCATGTCATCAAAGCCTTGAGGTAATGTTTAATTGCACTCTTCTTCTTTTCTTTTTCCACAAGTATATTCAGCATTGTACTGATGTTTTCTCAGTTAGTTCATCTGTCTCTGTATTTTATCTTTCTGTCTGTCAGGCTTATTAGCATATTTTGACAGATTAAAAGGCTAAGGTCAAACAAGCAAATCCCCAAAGAAATACTGCTAATTATTGTCATATGTTTTTTAAATACTTTTGCTTCTTCAAAGAATTTCATAAGGAACTAAATTCAACTTTTCAGTCTGTTTCTTTCATGAGCCCCTCCTCTCTTTAACATCACTTTTTCTAGACACCCTCCAGTGCCCCTACCCTCACTCTTATTTCTTTAGGCAAGCAATTAGTTTCTTACAAAAATGCAAGACTGTATTTCAGGTAAGTTACATTTTGTGGAAGTATACCTGGAGTACATTCTGATGCACATCCAGTGAGTAGCGCTCAGTGAACCAGCAAACATGGGTTTGGATATTTTGCTGAGGAGAGAAAAAGATCCTTTTTATTGTTGACAAAGCAACATAAATACCCTTCTTCCAGAATCCTGTTCAGGAACCAGTAGGTGTGTACACCTGTGGTCAACAGAGGGGTCCTTCACACCGTTGCATTTTCCCTCTCTTTGTAGGGTAGGGAGGATTGGTTAGGATCTGGAGGCAGAGTCAGAAGACCAATGAGCTGCATGCTAGTACTAGATGCAGTACAAACTTTTCTGTATCTTCAGCTTCTTAGAAGACAAATTGGAACAAGCAGATGGTCTGAGAGTGTGTGTAAAAATTAAAAAAAAAAAAACCAAACAAAAACCAAATATAGAAGTCCAACATACATTTAGTAAGGAGGAATTGTTACAACCACAATCTCTGTATTAGTTGTTGGCCAAGGTAAATAATAGGATAGGAGCTGGTCAGATAAAGGATGATACTGGCTTTTTGTGAGGATGAGACAACAGGTGGCTAAAATAAATAGCGAGGGAGTGCTTTTGGGACAAGATAAGCAACAAAACAATCCTAATTAACTTAATGATCAGACATGTATTTATCTTATGCCTCCACTTTTCTATTCATTTTCAGACACTGCTGTGTTTCAAGACAATATATCTGGTTTTTAAAGGATTCATTTTTTGATGGGTATGCAAAGGTAGCATTGCCAAACCTTGTTCATGGCAGGTAAATCATTACACGGCCTAAGACAGTGTTCATTAGCAGCATTGTCAATCATGTAGGAGTCCTGCCAGAGAATTGCTGATGATACGACAGGGTCAGAGACAAAGATATTCAGTCTCTATTCATCCATCAGATTTTTTTTTTTTTAAATCAATTTACAGCATGATAATTGAGTCAAGTTTATTGTGCTGCCCCTCAAACAATGTAAGATTTGGTGATTATAAATCTCTTGGTACTGAGACCACACAAAAAAGAGAAAGAAAAAGAGATGAAAAGGTAGGAAGGAAGAAGAGTTGGGATAGTGTGGTAGGTTTAGATAGGTTGGGGAGGTGAAAGCTAATTGCTAAGATAAATATATGTAAAAGGGAAAGTTTCAAATGGACAAGATGTCTCTTTAAAGTCAGAAAAGTAGTTGAGAGATTAAGTCCTCAGTTAAAGAAACTCTTCACTTAAGGTGAAGGGCTAAATTGCCATTCATGTATCTGTATCATCTGAAATGAATTCACTGATAAAACCAATGTGTATCCATCCCAGGGGATGGATAAAGGAATACTGCCTTACTGATAATGAATACTGCCTAAAAAAGGATTGTTTCTTTATGCTGTATTGGAGAGCCCTTTTGTAAAGCATTTTTTCTCTTCATACGTGCAAATGTGCATGCCTGCTTGCACATGTGTGCATGTAAGGCCTGTGTGCTGAATAGGTCTCTGTGTCACAAGATTTAAAAAAGAGGAAGAATAATATGGAACAGGAAAGTGAAAAGTCTTTTTCTAAGGTAGAAATAGGAGTGCTTTCTACAGGGAGGAAAATGCTTTTCTGTCAAGCTGGGCATGGCTCTGATTTCCAGCACAAATGTTCAGTGCTGCATTTCCAGACCAGGAAAAAAGGGTTTTTAAGCCTCCCTCCCATGACCTCCTCCCTCCTCACATTTACACCAAAGCCTTAAAATGAGTGCCATTTCCATCATGCACAGGCTTTCTGTAAACTGATGTTACTAGTAAACATGTGCTTGCACATCTACTTTCCTCAGTTTGCTGTTTGGCTGATTTCAGACACATGATAAGTAGATCATTCCTAAATTTTCATATAATTATGTTTAAATATAATTTTGAGCAATTAAAATGAATGGGAGAGGAATTTATATGAAATCTGTCTCAAAATAAACCTATAAAAGTGTCACATTCCAGGGTGATTTCTTAAACTCCCTTTCATACAGCAACCATGCTCATGAGCTCTCCTCTCAGACCCCTGACTCTTTTCTGGGATTCATCAGGCTGATGCTGAACATATTTAAATCCTCCCCATAAAAGGTTTAGTCTAAGTTGCTTCTCCAGTACTTGTTTGAACATTAAATATGCAAATAATCATCATTACACTTCCAACAATTACACATGTTTGCGAGCACCATGTCAAGTACTGGCAGCAGTGCAATCATTTGTAAAGACAAATATTCCATTCCAAGAGATGTCATGCTGCTTAGAAGATTTCTTTTTGTATTAGTAGCCACACTGCTGCTTCATAAAGTGTGCAAATGAACGTGACAGTGCTGCCAATAGCTGCCAGTTCCTTCCTCTCGGCAGAGCAGATGTCAATCAACCATCCCAAACAGACAAGGCCTCGGTACTGCCGCAGACATTAAACATGTAGGATGGAGAAGGGAGGGCACAAACAACACAGGCAGTGCAGGGGCTCGGCATACTCCTCACTCTCCCTCTCCCTCCTCCTCCTCTCCCTCTCAGCCTCTCTCCCTCTCTCTTTCTCTCTGAGGAGGCCCGAGGCCGTTGGAATATTTTAATTTCTGATTTCTGACTATATTATCATGTGTTTGTAACAGATGAATTGTAATTTGTAGCTCTGAGGTGATATGAAAAGCTGCCTGCGACCGTAGGACAGATGCAGGCGTGTGTGGCAGACTTCTCTCCTCACTGCTCTTGCCTCCTTCTCTCTCTCTCCTGCTCTTTATGTAGTAATGGATAATTGTCAGCATTCACTTTTATCACATCCAAAGTAGCAGCTTAGAGAAGATGCAACTTTAGTCAGGACTAATCTTGCCTCTTCCTGAAGTGGGAAAATCCCAAGTATTTCAGGGTCCTATTGATAACCCTTGTGCTTTTTTTTTCCATAAAAGACGGATGACTCTGGCAAGCTTGGGAGACTGCAGATAATGGGATTGACTTGGTACTTAAATCTCAGTGAACCAAGACAGCATAAGTAATTAGTGAATTGGATCCATACTGGGGTGCTAATGATGGCTAATACTGCCCCACACCATTCTAAAACCCACAAGATACACATCCATCTCATTCAGATAAAACCGAGGGGACACTGTTTTGTGGGCATCATTTATTTCTTCCTTAGCACTGAATTTATACCCCTTTAAAAAAATAAATCTAATGTTCATGGAGTGACACCTAGAAGAACAAGTGACCATTCTGTCAGAAGAGTTCATTATGATCACAAATACCTCTGGTGTTTTTAATTAAGAAAGGCTAATTAAGAGAAACTATGCATTTATCTTCTTATCTAGTTGTCAAGGGGAAAGTCACAAACACTAACTATATGCTGTTTAAATGGGAGATGCAGTTCATATTTTTAATCTTTTTCTTTTCATTTTTACTTTTTGTTTTCTAGCAGACTGAATCCTCACAAAGGAGGAAGTTCATTTAAAGAAAGTATTTATTTTTTGAAACCAATGCTCCAACTTTTGTTAAGTGTAGTTCAAATTCTGATTTTCCTCCAGGTTAGTATAATTGGGTAGAAACTAGTATTCTGCCTCATTTTTCTTTTCCCACAGAGTGATAGCATTTTATCAGGATAATTTAGATAAATGTCTTTCCATAGGGTTTGCTTATCCTTCCAGGAGCTATGATCGACAAACAGCCACATAAGATGAATGGCATCGTGTTTTGATCAAATGTATTCTCATCTAAAAGTAGAGAGGGTTTCAAGGTGAGGGGAACGTCTGTTTTCCTCAGATGTGATAGTCAGAGGGTGGTCCTCCCCCCTTTCCTCCCCCCCTCCCTGTGCCCTCCAGTTTGTTACAGTGGCTGCGAGTTAGGATGGTTCTGCGTTTGAGCGTGCGCATTGCACGTATCAGACACTAAAACCAGGGACAGCTCGGTAGAAGACATTATAACTTAGTCCAACAGTCTTAGCATATAGTTTTAAAGAGAGAGCTGAAGATAGGAAGGTTGTTTGTGAGGGGAGATTGACAAAGAAACTGGCAACTCAGGTATCCAGCTTTTGTGCTGCCACCTAAATCTTAAAGCTGGAAAACTCTTGCCTCTTTCAGCTTCTTATTTCCAATTCCTTTTGTTAAGGGACATTAAAAAAGGTATGACTCAAGGCAAATTTGGACTGTAGATTATAAAGGGTTAATATGCAACATTACAGACTAGAAACAAAAGAGTAGCCTGGCAAACACTATTTTTTTCTTTTCTTTTTTTTTTTTTTTTAAATTAAGATTGAGATGAAATTTTTCTTTTCTCCGACTGTCAAAAGAGCCTTAATTCTATGCTAGGTTATTTTAGCAAATACCTCTGTAGGTGTATGTGTGACCACAGTAGGAAATGCTTTGTAAGAAGAACTTCATATTCAACATTTGAGGAGAAAAAGCAGTTTAATGCAGGGGCTCTTCATAGTCCTTATAAATCTGTAACTGATTAGGAGGCATTCAGAGCTAATGTAGGATGAAAAGATGGGCAGACTGTCGGCTGAGAAGGCGGAAGCGGGGGTTGGTTGGGGTAAGGATCTGAACTGGATTATAACAAACGCAAGTTTTAGTTGGGATGGAGCTAAAGTGTTAGCCTGGAGGCAGACAGGCTGCTCTTCATCAGTTGAAATACTCTCACCTCAGTGACTCTTTCTGCTTCTCAAAAAACAAAGGTTCCTCCTGAAAGCAGTGCTTTGCAAATTGAAGCTTTAACCTTATCTTTTCTATCCAGCCCAGGGATCTTTCTCCCTTTCTTTCTATCGTTCTGCACACAAGAACTTGTAGCTTGTGTAGATGTAGCATGTATTTATAAAGTGCCAGATATTTTTATAATACTAATAAATCACACAGTCCTTTAAGTTGAAAATTGAACTCTGCCACCTCCCCAACCAGGTTTCCTTTTGCATTTCTGCTTAGCACTGTTTTATCTCTCTTCTTCTATTTCTTAGGACTTCTTGTAATACTCAAAAGTAAAACAATTAATAATCTTATTTTCACCATGCAAGATCTGAAGATTCTTTATCTCAAGAAGCCTGAAATTTTTTAGTCCACATAAATAATGAGGATTCCTGTTTTATTATTAACAGCATTAATTGTGAAGCGCTGCAATGTGGAAGGATAGGGTATGAGATATATTGCTTTTAAGAGATAAGGATACACCTTCTGCAAAATTAGAATATCATTTGTTAAAGAAGCTCCTTTTTTCTTATATTTCTTACTATAATTGTCCGCTTCTATGATTTTAGCTATTGGAAGAGCTTCATTGTTTATCTTCCTAACAGCCTGCATTTTCCCTTGAATATGATGAATACAGCTGCAGGACCCTGCATCACCAGTTCTGGGATTTTGTCAGATGGTGGGAGTCTAAAGAGTTTTCTATTAGAAAAAAAGTGCCTCCCTTCTTTTGACCTAATTTGTTCAAATATTTAGTAGTTGCTCCCATTTCTGCTGTTGTCCCTAGAAATAGCCCTAGAAATTGCAAGCACTGATAGAAATAATAACATCACTGGACAATGTAATCTAAAACACTGCAATTTTCAATTTTTACTTCTGAAGTATTATTCCCATTTTTTTCCTCACTAATCAACAAGACTTTGACAGAAATCAGAAAGGAAAAAAGGCTAGAACTGTTACATGATTTACCCACTTACACCTAAGACTTTCACATACTATTAGCTGAATTATAGGGCCTGTAGTAAACTGTATTAAACCTCAGACACTTGGCTAAAAGTAGGTCTATATCCAAGGTTAAAGAAAAGGAGGGGTCATTTTTATGAGGATACTGACCTTTTCCAAACTAATATCTGCCACACATTTCTTTTTCTAATGTTTCAAAAGGAGGTGAGTTCATTTCTACATCCTTTCTAACAGGATTTTGAAAGTTACAGTAACAAAAAAAAAAAATTAAAAAAAAATTCAGAACCCTTACATTAATCTGAAGGCAGGATAGACTGTATCAGTGAACTGCTTTTTGATGCTGAAGGGTGGAAGTCAAGATTGCACTTGTTTTTCCTACCGTTATAAAAACTAGTATGAGCTGCCTGAGCATTTTCAAAAAACAGGACAAATACAGAAGAATGAATTCTGAATCTTTCTTCCCTGCTGTAAAAAGCCCAGATTTTTGTTGTCTGATGTGGGAGACTTTGCAATGCACATGGATAAGTAGTAGAATCAGAAAAGGTTGATGTAGAAGGAAAGGGGAAGCAGTACACATAAACAACTCTTTCATTCGACTTCTTATTTTCGTTTTCCATAATTAACCATATAAGGCAGAAAGACAGAAAGAAGCAAGTCTTATTTTAAAGGAAGCAACTCAAAATATGATACTTTGCTTTTTACATCTTATACCAGATATCAGGATGCTGCTGAAAAAGTGCCAGAATTAAAAGTAATTCCCTCAACTTGAGTAAACAGTCCTGAAATCTGCCAGATGCTGGCATATATCCACTGGTTTGAAAGTTTGAAAGCAGTCTAAAAAAATTTAGGGGTAGTTTTTGTTTGTTTGTTCCTGATCACTGATAGCATGAGCTAGCAGCTGGTAGAAGAATAAAGGAAAATGTGTGTGTATTGGCAGCAGACAATTTATAACATGAAGTGATTATTCTCTCAGTCTTAAACATCAGAACTTGTGTCTTAAAAAATAATAATTTGCTTGGACAATTTTACAACTGAGCATTTAGTTTTTTCCCATTTTTCCTCCTTCAAAGATGTGTTGGAATTTGTAACCAACAAGATACATAATTTATCAATCTGGTACTTTTTTTTTTTTTTTTTTTTTTTTTTTTTTTAAAAGAGGCGTTTTTCAATCTTGTTCCTTTTAAACTTATTGCAATCCTAGCTTGGTAAACCTACATCTCCACCTAGTGGTTTCACAGAAAGGGGACGCAGTCGTTTTTCAAACGGTGTGAGCTTCCAGATAACTTGCGTGTCAAGTCAATCTTCAACACCAGAGTGAAGAAATTGCATTCTTTCTGAAGGAAATATTTTAAAACGTGATTAAATATACAGAGAGAGAGAGAGAGAGAGACAGATGATAGATAGATAGATAGATAGATAGATAGATAGATAGATAGATAGATGTAGATAATTAAATGTTGACATTTCTTTGCTATGTGCAATTATATAATGGCTCTTTTATTTCTTAGTGTTAATACTTTCAACTACCAACAGAAAAACAAAATTTTAGCACAGCATGAGTTCATCCTGCATTTTTTCTAATCCCATTTTAAACCATGCTCGTGCAGTGCTGGAAGATTCCCATCTATCCTGCAGCCACATCTCTAATGCAGAGTGTGATCAAAGGTACAAACTAAGCACAAAACAACTACCAAGACTTTGAAAACGCCCTGAGACCTTTCCTTTCACAGTGATGTGGTTTTTTTTTAACTTCCTGGTTCAGGATACTTTTTATCTGCCTTGAAAAACCTACAAAAAATCTGTGTATGGAAGAGGCATGCACAAGGCGTGTGACTTAAGTACCAGGCCAAGACAAATTTTTAAAGCTGTTCTGCCCTTTCCCCAAAAGATTAATAATGCGTTTACTTGACTCTCCAAAAGATCCTATCAACAATTTTTCTTTAAAAGAAATATTATGAAGTATATCTTTGAAGTCTCTTTTTCACAATAGAGGAGGTAAAAACTCCAGTCCCAATACAGTTGCTTACTATCCCATACAATCACTTTAAACCTATTCTGCAAGAGATACCTCAGCATATTAAGGCCTCTTCAAGTACACAAACTAATGTCTTCCAGTACCAGCAAACCGATTCCTTTTAAAAAATAAAATATAGGCAGAAAATAAATTAATCTTCTGATTCTGTCCAAAATATCTTATTTTTCTCAGCCACAGTTCTCATTCCTCTTTTATGTCTCTTCAGTGCCAGCCACTTCATGGAGCAGTGAAACTCTGAGTGGTTTTTGGGGGGTTAGAATCCTATTCTTTTAATAAAACCATCAGTTCCATAGGACTATCCAGAGCATACAAAATTCAGAATGTGCCTAAACCTGTGCAATATTGAATCCTTCACATGGTCAGTAGATGTACTGTTAATTAAATGCTACTTGTAATAAAATATATTAAAGTGATTGAAGCTGCTGTAGCTGCAGTGGGCCTAGAAAGTACAATAATCCTTCACTGTAATGTAGAATCCTCATGTCAGAAACATGTACAGTGCTCAGAAAGAGTATAATTAATGCACATTAACATACATACTCAGAGACAGAATATATGAAGAGGGTGCTTTGGGACATGATTAAATTTTTTGTGACTTCAAATTAGGGAAATTTTGAAAACTTCCAGTTCAGCAATTTACAATGATTAAATGGTATCATAACTTTTCTCTAAAACCAAACAAATGTAAAAGTAATGAGAAAATATGGGTTTATTTCATTAATGAGCTATTTCAGCCTTAAATATTGTTTTCCACAAATACAATAAATATTGATTTTCTTAGCTGATTAAGAATGGATGGCCACCCACAAGTAATTAAACTAAATATTTAGTCTTGTATAGTTAAATGAAAAATTAGATGCTTATTTCAGAGCTGGGTAGCATGTGAAGATCATTAGATACTCCAAGGTCAGTACTGGATTAAAACTAAGATCTTCTGCAGAATAGCAAGGAGAGTTTTTGGTTGGTTTTTTTTCTGAGAAGGAAGGACATTTGGGGTGGCTTAGGCTGAGAACTGTTGCTATCTGAGATGCTCACTGAAATACAGAGGTGAAAATTGGAGGTGAAAACGAAAGCTCATTTTCCTGTAGAGAAAGTTCACCCTTCCCTTGAATAGTGAGACCTGCAGGGCACTGTCAGTCAACACAATGAATTTACCAGCAAGAGATCCGGGCTGGGCTTGCCCTGAGCCCCGGTGGCTTGCTGGGCTCCTTCTGAGCAGCTAGAAACAGTGTCCTTTTGTGCATGCTCTATCTGACACGTACATGTCACAGATGGAGACCAAGTACTCTTGACAGCACCCAGTTAGAAGCCATTTGGGCAGACAACACAAGTGCAGCAAAACTCTGAATTAGCTTTTAGGCAGAAAATTTGAGCTGTTTGAATAACAAGAATGAGGGATGGCAAAACCACCTCATTTAATTTCTTTGTCACTTTAGCTGACTTCTGACTTCTTTACATTTCAGAATTAGATAAAAAAAAAGTAGGCTACATAATTATCAGAAAACAAAAAATACCAATAATGTTTTTTATTCTTTCTTCTGGTATGTATGAAGCCTAAAAAGTGGAAATTTGGTCTCTTTAGGAAGAAGATACGGTCAGAATCCATCTGGGCTTACCAAGTCTTGCTTGCCAATTGTTTGTTGTGTTCTGGCCAGTTGTTTAAATCCATCCCAGCAATCTGAGTTTTTTAAGTAATCTAAGTATGCAATTAGAAACTCAGTATGATTGAGCACTCTTCATTGGCTGTCACAGCAATAAAAGGGCCAGTGTTTAATGATATATATAAGAGGATGAAGTATCTAGTGCTGCTACTCAAAAGATATTTTTGCTTCTTCTCACTGTAAAATTCATAGTCTTACAATATGGGTAGCTCTAACAGAAATCTAGGAAATCACTTTTTCATGAAAAAAAACCAAAACAATTTGTGGCATTTAAAAAAAGTTATGTGATTCTTTGGAAGAACTGGAGACACCACATTTATTCCAGAAAAATAAATAATCAAAATAGGAAATTTGCCTGGGTCCAGAGAGTTGCAAATATTTGAACCACTGTAGATTTCTCATCAGTTAATGAGACTTCTTATCAGTTGATCAGTTGTCCTCAAGAGAACAATCTGAAACTCAGCGATCCTAATGGGTCCCTTCCAACATATTGTATTCTATGAAACAAAACCAGTTTACAGATATAACCACCAAATGGCATTCTTCATGTTACATTGTTTTGGACCTAAAAGAAAAAGTAATTCTGAGCGTGCTTCAACAAAGTTTTTTGTTTTCCATGCCAATGAACAAAACTACATTATTTTCTATACCTTTGCAGGTTAAGGAACCATGCAATACCACACAGCTGTTGCATAACATAGCTGGAAAACTTCTGGTGATCTCATTGTGTGTTCTCTCTTGTGTGCTATGACTGGATTTTCAGAGTTTAATATTTAGAGTTTAAGGAAATAAGCACACACTCTAGATGAGTTATTATTTCTAAAATTTTTTGTCTCATGATAGATGTAGAAAGACCATCACACAAAGTAAGTTCGTCATTTACAGGCACATATTTTATCAGTTTTACTACAATAAGCTGATTCATGAACTCATTATAACTAATATATAAATGCTAGTATAAATCTGTAAGTTCTAAACACATTTTGCATTTTCCTTCCTTTAATAATCCCACTGATTAAATTTTTTTCATGTTATTTCTCCTGTTTTTTGCAAGGTGGCAGGTGAGATCATATGGAATGAAGCATTTTCAAATATAAGCCAAGATTTCTCACATCCACGTCAATCTTAATATAGTTTTACCTAACTATTCTTGGAAGTCCATGCATACCATGAAGCATTTTCTTCAAACCAAAACAATCTAGACTTACTTCAATTACAAGAGGAGTGACCTGCAGAGCATCCAAGCACGTACATGAGCAGGACTATAGAATGCCTTGTCCAAGCTACTGGTAGGAAAAAACAGCTTTTCTTCAGCCTGCTCCTCCTACGTCTGGGGTTTTCTTAAAGCATTTCCAAACCCTGGCCAAAGATCAAGATACACTCCAGTTTTATTCTCTAAACAAAAACAAAAACCAACAAAAAGACCCCCATCAAATAACACAAACCCCACATATATCACTTTCTTCTGTTTGTCAATATGTATTGGTGTGTATTCTGGATACATCTCATATGTACTGTGCACTAGGACTTCTGCACATATTGCAGTGCAAACTGAAAAAAAAAGAAGTTCATGGGGGAGAAAGGGGTGTTTGTATTTTAGTTGAAGTACAGCATGGCACTTATCTGGTGATTCCAGTAGAGAGGGTAACTTACTGTAACTGATAACAAAACCTTTTGAGTAATTTAATTGGTACACAGATTTGGAATCATGTAAAATATTTTTCTTACTTCTAGTAAAGCTATATGAGTGCACATATACATTTAACTATATAGCTGAGTAACTTAGAATAGGAGAGAATATAAATAAAATCACCTAGAGAACCATTAAATGATATTAACAAATACAAGTCATTGATGTGTCTCCCTTGTGTGCAATAAAAGTTGTAGTGGAGAAAAAGGAGAAGACAGTGCGAAGAATAAGCAAGGTACTTTCCATAGAAGATGCAGGTTAAATGAACAAAGGTAAGACCAAAAAAATAAAAGAAAAAAGTTTGCAACATTTATTAGCTAAGAATATACCCAGAAAAAAATTACACATTATTCATATATCCAACTGATATATATATTTATCTTCAAATCTACTAATAGCAACTATAGGTTTAGTACAAATAAATTAGATTCAGAGGTGAAGATACACAACATAGTCCAGCCAAAATTTTTACAGGGGCTGCCAGTTTTTGCTTCAGATTTAAAGGTATTGTTAAGGTTTCAGCCCACAGTTTGGCAAGAAGCTGATGAAACAGACTTGGAGATTCTCTTCCCTTTTGGCCTTAGTGATTTTCTGTGCCATTAATAGATAAACTTGCAATGGTTTTCTGTTATGAAATAGCTTCTGTGTTGCTGTATTGTGTGGTGTAGTTCAGCATTTTTAAGGCTCTAGGGCAGCATCTACTGCAGTTGATTTGATATGACTTCTCATGAGATTTTTAAACTTCAGCTATGTATAGAGTTCACAGGCTGAGTTGTCTTCTTCAGCTGTTGCAAGATGTCACAAAACCATGTGGACAACAAGGCTCCCTCCAGGTCTGACAGCTGGTGGTCCTCAGATGGATCAGTCTTGAAACCTTGGGAAAGCCAAACTGGAAAATTTAGCTGGAAAGACTTAAGTGTCTTCAATAATAGACTAGTAGGATTTTTGAAAGCCTTGAGCTCCACATGCTTTTGTGCCAAGGATTTTCTCTGAGTTTACAACAGTTTGAAGTGTATGGTTTCCAGCAGTCACAACCTCCACAGACTCTGTCAGCCAGGCTTCTGGGAGGCTTCTCATGTGTCTCTACAGCATGTGTGGCTTGTGGGACGCCTGTCCCCAGACACAGTGCAGAAAGGCTGAGCCCCTCAGTACAACTGAAAAGGCTCTGTTCTGTTCACTACCTACTCTTGCTGACTGTGAGAACTGGCATCTTTGGCTAAGCAAAATTTGCTCAGATTTTCCCTTTAGAAAGGGCAAAAGTATGTAAAGTATGACTTTTTCCTTCTCCAGTTTCAGTCTTTTGAAGTAAAGATACTATGGGGACAATGCTGTACATTTTGATAACATAATTATTGTCTAAGAAAGCAATAAGATTGTTGAAAGCAACTGTTAATGTTCTCATACCAGTGACCCATATATTTTACGCAACTGTACAATTGCTCTATAGCTACAGAAATATAACCATAGGTTGCAATTTATAGCAGCAAAAACATTCAAAACACTCAGTAATATTCTTGGTAGCTAATTGGTCATTTGCTACAACTTCTTTCTTTACACACATAAACTCAGAGCACCATTAAAAGTTAGAGATCTAAAAGAGCTCACTCAAACTGAGCCCAGGTAGATGAGGGGTACACAGCATCTACCAATACCACCGTTTATCTGTGAAGGCCATGCTTGAAATACAGGTCAAATCGTCAATGTAACATGCTGAAAGAACTTTTGCTGTCAAGCTAAGCTGTAGTAAGTTGTTACATGGAACAAAAAATTCATTTCAAAAATCATGAAATATTTTAGAAAAGCCTGCCCGTGCAGAAGAAGATGAAGTGTTGAAGTAAAAGAGGAGTTTATTCATACAAACTCTTCTTGGGAAGTTTAACCTATAAATACCTCTGGCCTGAAGGTATCTGAGTAACTAGTTCATTGGACTTAGGTTATACTTATTCCTTCCACTGCAACGGACTAAACAAAGGCAAGCTTGGGAGGGTTATTACTGCCTTATTCCTACTGCTTCTTCAACAGCTCTTCACTGTCTGGTGGACACTAGCAGAGCAGGTAAATCTGATTTGAGGTCTTCTTGCTCTATCTAGTTATAATAATAAATAATTTCCTCTCTAAGCATAAAACTCTTGATAAAGAATTGCCCTACACATACACAGCTACTTTTTTTATTATTATTTTTCATTTATATACAGTATACCAAATTTGGCTATGACAGATTTGCTTCTTCTCTACAACGTGACAGAGGAAATTTTTTGCATGACTTTCACCATGCTTGAAATGCCAGGGGAGCAATGTACAATCTGATAAAGTCCTCTTCAAGAAAGTTGGGGATTTTCCATTTTTTAAAAAATTCAACTCATCTCAAGTCAGAATTTCTTTGCAGAAGATATGCTCCAGCCTTAATTGGGGTGCTCAGTCTAGGGTAAATGGGTGAAATTTAAGGTCCAGAAATACATAAGCAGGTTTTCTCAGTAATCTCACAATCTCTTCAATTCTATGCATTTAAAATGAAGAATCTTGCAGTGTGCAGCCTGCAGTATGTTAAGTATTTTTGGAACATAGGCAAAGCATTTACACCAGTAAGTAACTCTACATCACTTGCACAGTGAATTCTTTCCTGCTATGCATAAAACACAATATCACTGAGTACAAGTGCAGATTGGCAGAGTACAAGTGTATGGATGGTCTCTGCAATATTGCTTCAAAGCCATTGTTCAGTGGCAATGAAGCCCCTTCAGATCTCAACCCATGTCACTGAGATCTGTGAGTCTTAACACCTTGCTTTCTGCAGTCCAAAAATCTAGCCCTGTGATGTCAGGGTGACTTTTCAATTCCTCTTATGAATGAGTCTTTCCAATGAGGAAAGACAAGACAGATCCTTAGAATCATGGTTTGAAGAAAACCTTTGCCATTACAACTACTAGCAATGACTCTGCTTTGCCAAAGAGTTTGAAAACACAAAGATTAAAAGGCTAAAAAATATGAAAGGAAGTGTGAGGCAGCAAAAGCACATGTTAAGAGAAGGTAGAATGATGAGTGTTTTGAGAACAATTAATACCCCATCTGGCTTTCTATGAAGGTGTACATTACACAAGGAAAAATGACCAGATATTTTATTCTTTATCTTTACATGTCCATGTTGCCCAGAGGTATGGTGAACATCCCTCGTTTTGGTGGGAAACACATGGGAGCCTCATTGCGTCTGGCACACTATGTCAAGTCAAACACACGAGCTGAAGAAGTGCCTTGCTTTTGCTCAATTAGGACTGTTTGCTTTGTGGACCTCCATTAGCAAGTATAAATTTGTACAGTGGTCACCATTTAAAAATCAATATTTACCAAGGGTTATCACATCATCAAGCCTAGGACACTAAGTAGTTCCGTAAACTTTGAGTAGAAAATAATACTGCGATCTGGTAAATATTTAACACACGTATCATTTTATGGTAACCACTACTTTTGATACAGGTGTTCATTACCTCTTCCTAGCTAAACCCTCCATTAAATTACATTGCACTGGACTTAGGCTTCACTTCAGCCAGATTTCAGTTAAAGGAAGTGGGAAGAAAAATACAATGAAACTGACTTTATAATGAATATAATGAAAATAACTGTAATGAATAATCACTTTAATTTTTGATGCCCTCTTATCCCAAAGCATATGATTCAGCAGGGATTCTCTGTGGAAGTACTGAATAGATGGCTAAAATAGATCTAGGTAAAAAGAACTCAGGTTCCTTTTTCCTCTGGGTGTAGTAGGGTATTTTCTGTTTGGCAAGGAAGGCTCCCCAGTAGCTAGCTACACTGTCCAGTTTCTTTCAGTATAACCACCCTTCCTTTGATGTGGAAGTAACAGATGTTTAAGACATAAGAAATTAGATAGACTGTGATTACTGAGAAACAAGTTAATTTCAATTCATTACTTGATGTTCTCATTCACTTGTTCTGAAAATGACAGTAGTTAGTAGGGTTGTTGGTTTTTTTAATTGACATATTTTATGTTTAACAATCAACTTAAACTTAACCTATGCACACCTCTAATTTTGAAACACATCATTTGCGAGCTAATATGTTACTTTTTCATCGTAAATTGGAGTTATTTCCAAAATGGCTTCACTTTAATTATATGTACGTGTACAACTTAGCCAGCTTGTTTTCTTGTGGGTAGTAAGAAGAGGTAAGGAGAACACAGGAAGTAACAGATTAGTTTTTCCTCTTTTCACAAAACAAGTTTCATTCCCCCTCCAGTTTCCTAAAAAAAGAGGTGTTTCAGAAAAGCCAGAGGAAGGGCTTGGCAGGGGAAGGATTAAGTTTGGGTTTTTCTGCTGGAAAGGAATAAGTATGATTAGGAAACTGTCTTAGATAGCTCATTAGCTTTCAAATATTGGATGTGTTTGGTTGATGAAGGTATTAATGTTCACACAAGTACTGTAATGCATTTGACTTGGCTGTGAAATATTTTCATTGGTTCAGAGAAAAAGATTGAGAATAGGTGTTTGAAAGAACTTTCTGAAATACAGTACAGTTAACAAAGAAGATAACTAGAAAAGCTGATGGTTTCTCAGTGAAGATTTTTAGGAATTGATTAGTTGGTCTATGTAAGTTCACTTCCATCTGATATCTAGTAGAGATGTAGTCTAGATGACCCTTTGAGACCTCTCCAGAACTGCATGATTTGAAGCCAAAGCGATCACTTACAAATTTTGAGGGTGGTTAGGAAACTGTAGCAGTGATAAATAAAAATAGGATAGACTGATGAGACAATGCCAGCTGAATCAGTCTCCTGATAACTCAGGTATAAGCAGCACAGTGTGGGGAATATCCCAGCAAGAGGACAGAGGGGAGAGAAGAAGACAAGAAGGGAGCATAAAACTCACCCTCATATAGCTGTGCATTAACACTGTACATCACAGAACCTCTGTCACCCGCTCTGCTCTTCCCAGACTAGAGAAAAACCATCAGAAGGCAGTAGTGCTTTATAATTTGCCCTTGCAATAACTGACCCAAATAAACTATGCCTGCATGGTTCCTATGTCAGGCAAAATTTTCAGGGAGAAGTATTATTTTTTTATGTCTAACTCGTATCATTGATAAAAAACAGGTGAGCTCTTAGGTACAAAGGCACTAAATCTCTTTTTTTCTCAACTGTATCAATCTGTCTTATAAAAAATACTACTGGGCCTTATGAAATCTGCTTTTTTTACACCCTCTGGCCATCATAACTATAACAACCCTACAGTAGTAATAAATTGAAGTAACAAGTTACACTTTCTATCAGTGACAGTAATTAAGTCCCAAACAAGGTGTTAACACATTTAATAGATTCCACATCAGAAAAAATACTGAAACAAGTCTTGAAATTTTTAATAAATTGTGTAGCTCCAAGAGAAGCTGAGATTTGGAGCTAAACCGAAGGAGTTTAAAAGCCTTTTGGTCCTTATTAAATGGGAGGTCAAAAAAATGGCTGAATACAGTTTTTCTCTTTGGTTTCATAATCTATGAATCTAGAGCTCTGCAATTGAATACCAAGAGATGATTTTTTTTTTTAATAAAAAATGAGTAGAAAAGATCTAAACACACTCTTATTCCTAGTTTATGATTCTAAATTTGAGACTTCTATATCTCTCAATTGTTTTACTGTGTTCACCTTGTAAAAAGAAACAGACTAAGGCTGCACAGGATGAGAGTCAGGCCAGTACAATGTAGACAGGCTTTTAAGCAATCTCCTCAAGCACCACAAATCTATGTCCAAACCTCACAGTTTATCATGTGTTAAGCCTATCCAGATGGTAGGTAATATTTTGGTATTAGCAGTCCACATCCATTTCCACTTCCTTCTCTATAGAAAATTGCCAGCAAGTCTCCCTGGTGGTCTTTTAAATGTAAGAGTACTCACATATATATGAATGTACACCACATATATTACAGTATCTTGCTCTGAAATAAAAAACAAGCTCTTAGTAATTTATAATCTGAAATATGTAGAGGAACACAGCTTCAAATGGTATGAAATTGTGCTATTCAAGTACTTTCCCTAACTGCCTATGACAGTCCCAGGCTCCTGAGAACAGGACTTCAAAAAAGACAAGAAGAATCCAAACTACAAGTGCTTTATCTGCCTTCCTGTGAAAGCTGGAGTGATGGAGATTTGTGTGAATAAATGCAGGACTCTTCTCTCCATGTAGCATCACAGGCACTGCTACAGCTCCAGTCCACAGTGCTATCAGCTACATGCCCAGAATCAAATTTATGCCCAGAATCAATTTGGAAACCTGGAGATTTTTAGTATACATACCAGTCATTTTAGCATACATGCATACTTACATTTTGCATACATTTTAGTAGTCATACCAGGCAGCAGAAATAAGCATGGAGTTACAGAACAGAATAAATTGTCAATGAGATGTAGTCACAGTTAATTGTCCAGTGTTTATAACTAAATGTGTAACGAGAGAAAGCCAAGCCTTGCAGTAGCTAGGAAAACTGTGGGTTTACACCTTTAAAAGCTACTTGCAGTTCATCATGGCTGCCTTTCAATTTTTCCAGGGGCTGTCCAGGCACTGTACAGCTCTGCAGTTTAGATGGGGTGGAAACGAGAGTGTCTCAGAGCAAGAGCTAGCAGAGCTGTGTGAAACTGAGGTTCAGTAACACAGAAGTCTCCAGTCTTTTCCTGCATCCTCCTTTGGAACTCAGTGGATGTGCATCACTTAACAACAAGAAAAAGCCTGAATCCAACATCCTTTTTTAACCTTGGACACATCACCAAAATCTTGTTAACTGTTCCTTATGAAAATAGAGGTTTTTTTCCTTTTCTGTGTTAATCACCAAATTTCTTCCAGCAGCTTTCTCCTCTTTGTTATGCCGAGTAAACCATCAGGGTCTTTTAAATCCTCCAGATCTCCTATTCCACCACATGTCATGTGGAACCTCAAAAACTTCTGGATTGTTCCATTACCTCTTCCTCAGCTATATCTCCTCTACAGCACTAGCAGGAAAACTTCGCAGGCATCAGCCTGAGCATTCAGTAGGAGGGGACATCTGAGATGGTCTGGGTGGTAGCTTCAGGCAGCTCACTTAGATGTTTAATTTGAGAAGGGTAAGATAATTAAGTACCTGAGTTAAGAACATTCCTATCCTTTCTATTCAGCCAGAGACAGAAGTAGAGCACCTAAGCTCAGTTTCTTGCAAAACCTATTTCTCTTCATTGGAATATGGAAACTGAAGGAAATTTGCAGTTCTGAATGTGTGTAGTAAGTCCCTGCAGCTAAACAATATGAATATCCTGCCTACCTTCTTCCACAGTTCATACATCCCAAACAAGCTCAGGCACCCATAAACACTGGTGGATACAACAAGAGATTTTCATGCATAGCTACTGCCTTCACTGCTGCCTTTTTCTCTCTGAAGAACTGAAAGCATGCCTCGGCATTCAGAGATTATTACTGGGTGCAATGTGTTGTTATCCCAAGCTTGCAAAAGAGAGGTGCATATTTTTGCAGCTCATCTCTTTTTTGACACACACTCATCGTCTGGGGAAAATTTTCATTGCATCTGCTATGTGGTGTCTCTTGTTACCCCTGAGAGGTGCAGAAAGTACAGAAATTGTGTGAGTGGTCAGCAACTTAAGTGGCACAGAAAGTTTTTCAGCTGCCTGCTACTGAGACTCAGCAGCCCTCACAGGGTTAACCCTTAAGTGGGCTTCTGCCATGTCTTGACACAACTCGGAAGTTTGCCAAAGAGCATTAATTAAATTTCATGCTTTCTTTCAGACTTATTAAATGTACTCATCTCTACCAGCTCCCATACTGACATGGGCTATTATTGTTATTATTACTATTACTTTACAATTAGTGTGTTGTTCCCTAACCACCATTAAATATGTCTGGAAAGTGTTTCTGAGTTAATACTTTAGGACTAGACTAACCTATAAAAAGCACTGAGAATTATAAAAGAGAGCTTGATTTTAGGGGTCAAAGAACTTTTTCTATGTTAAATTTTTAAGGAAATGTGTCTTCCCAGCTGTGTCTTAACCTTTTTCAAGGCCTGCCTTGATCTGAGATACACCTGCATTTTGGAAAGGTGAGGTATATTTTGGTGGGGGGAAAAAGAGGGAATGATTACTACAAGTAAATGTGTGGTAAAGTATTTAGAAGTGTTTGAAGGAAAACAAGCTCTTGAAAATGCACAGATTTACTCAATTCTTGCCTTACATTTACATGATTTTTTCCATTATTTTAAAATTTAGCCTTTAATTCAGTGCAGCTATGTGAACTTGTTAGGATTCTGCTGCCATGGTATGTTTAGCCTAATGATGGATCTCAGATTGTGAGACTGTAAATAGAAGTGTACACTTGTCCAGCCCTTTGCACTGCAACCCATGAGAGCATCCTCATGGCAGATTATAGAAGTTGCTGAGAGATCACTACACCGTGTTGAGACCAAGTAAACATCATCCAAATCCCAACTCTTCATCACATGAAAGTGTATTGGAACAAATATACCAAAATATCTGGTATTTATAAATTTTAGTAATATGGAGTCATCATTAAAGACTTCCAGCATCAGGACTTTTATCCTGTGCTACTTTCAAGCTCAATGTAGAGAGCTGTCCTACTTTTCTTTTGTTGGGTTGTGCAAAAATCAACTTGCATTTTGCCTTGGGAAAGAGGCTCAATTTGTATTTGCTTAGCCCTAAGACTTGTGCAGAGAAAGCAAGTTTGTCATGTATCTGTCATGACATTATCTAGATAATCCCTTTTGATAAGCAGTATCATTTTTCTGGAGCACTATTGAAGAGGACTTTACCCTGAAGTGAATTGAGAGCAGCTGAGCAGCTGATGTGGTTGGATAAATGCTGAAGTTCTGCCTGGTAGCAGGTAAATATCTTCCATATGAGAGACAGTTTATGTTCTTTGATTGTAAAAAAAAATATCTCAGGTTACTCAAGGAATGATTCTCCAGACCTGATATTTTAAAGTAGTTTCTTTTCCAAATTTGGCTATTAATACAATCACAAAAAGCAGGTATTAATGTTACAACAAAGCCTTATACAGAGGGAGCTTGGAAACAAACTTGTTTCTTTCGTGGCTTCTGAGCTGTGCGGCTGGATTAATGTTTGAACCCCAGCATGAAAAACACAAGAGCTTTGGTGCTCTGTAAAAGCTGAACAGAGAAACTATACTCCAACAGGAAAAAATTTCAAACTCTGGTTTCAACCTACAGCCACTTTCCTAATGGAATATTCAGCCATTTTCAAAAAAAGGCCTACAAAATTCAGGGTATCTAATCCCATAATTTCTCTGTACCAGTATTAAAATTGCTGCAACCTGCTTTAGCGCTGGTAGAAGATTAACTTCCAAAAATACCAGTAGGAACAAAACAGTAGAAAGCACTTTTTGTTAAACTTGTTCACACACCTCAAAGTGATCCAAGAAAGATAAGTGA